CGCCCTCGTGTTTTTCCCCTGCTCCTCCCCCCCCCCCATCATAAAACGCCGGCAACGCAGGCTACGTCCTTCACTAAATGAAACGCGTACTATTACTGTATCAGTAAATCTGTACAAAGTTTATCAACGTTTTCAAACAACAAATCTAATGGCATATTTTAGGAACAGATAAAAGTGAAAATGTACAAACGTTGACGACTGACGAGTTTGTTTGATATGAAAATATGTTTGTGAGAGAATACCCAACTTCAAAGTTTAAAGTATACATTTTATTTGTTTCTTGACTTGACTGTTGATAAAATGCTACAGTGTTTTGGTAATTTAAAAGCAAACAGAGGTATAAAATAGAAGTTAGCGGGCGATTCGAACAATATATCGTAAAATCCCACTCCTGGTTTTTGAAATTTAACGTTTTCTGTGGAAGCATGTAATTTGATACTTTGCCACTCCCCCTTGGGCAATTAAATTTTGTAGAGTCACGTGACCAGCCGATACCTGGGTCTTTCACTCTTTCCCCAAAAGTCCCTAGGTACGAGGATGGGAGGGCACGTTGAAGATTATTTTGTTTGTAAACAAACACTGCATGTCAATAACTTCGTAAATAAATGCAGTTATACTAACTCTTTTAGGACCTCTTTTACTGTAATTTATGCAAACATCCGAGGATGGCTAAAGTCAATTTAAAATCAAGCAAAGAAATCGCGTTTGAATTACCAAAATGAAAGATCTCGCATTAGTCTACTCGTGCACCAAATTTCTTGAAACTTTGATAACTAATTATGCACGACAGTCCATAATCATGTGTGATTAAATTTTGCTTCTGATGAAGCTTTTTTGCGCAAGGCCTTTTTTGCGGCGTTTTTGTAACAGCTTTCCTACTCTAAAAACAATAGCATTTTCAAGGTTAGAGTGCTAGATGTACCAGAAAACGTTAACGTACATAGGCTTACTGAAAGGTTTCGGAAATGTCGCGCGCATCTGACTTTAGTGAACTTTTTCCAATTGTGTAGTTTTTTATACACCCTGTATTTTAGTTTCAACCACTCTTATTATTATGCAAATATTGATAAAAAAACTAACAAATATACCTTTGAGCTCTTTAACTTTTTCTTTCAGAATCTCTTTAGATATGGCTGGCTGAGTGAAGTGGAAGCACTGCTGTTGATCAAGTGAAAATTGCTTGCCGATAGCCAAGACAAGCTTGGAGAAATCCCAATCACTGGGATTGTCATTGTTTATCAGGAAGATGTCTAGATTTCGGCCAATTATTTTGTCAACTTGTGCTACCTCCTCTCTGAATTCTGTTTCTATTTTCTTCCTGAATTCATCTCTGCTGACTATTGTATTTTTGTTATCGTTCGCAAAGTCTTCATCAATCCTGGCACGGACGAAGAGGAATGGTTTTTTGATATTTGCAAGTTTCTCTGCTAAGGAAATGTTGAGCTGGCTTAGACTCTTAGCAGTCATAATTACAAATGCATCGTGCTGCAAAATTTTAAATTCGTCGCAGTAAGTTTTGACATCAGGAGCAGCAGATAAACCAATTCCCGGTATATCCCAAAGAGAAATTTTCCCCTCCCCAGGGTAAGGATACTCTTTGGGTGTTGTTGTCGTCTTTGATGAACCCACTTTTGCCGGTTTCTTACTTTTGTGGTCGTTGGCGTTCACACTGTGCAGAATTAAAGAATTGAAATTAAATATTAATAAGTGAACTATGGAAATTGACCACTGATATACAATTCCACTGGGCATGCTTATTACTTAAGTTTCGCGCTGTCCATCAGGTAAACCACTGGCTTTGGGCCAATTCAATTTGACAACAATAGCATTATAGCTAAATAGCATTTAAAATAGTGTACGGCACCTGAACTATTCAAAATCGTGCTTGCAGTGCTTCTAAATCCATAATTCAATTACATATTATGCAAATACTGTATATTTTCAAAATCTGTCATATTTATTTACATTAGAACCAAAGCTTTCGAGGTTCACACGAAATATTACGTCGGTAATTTTCACTAATAATAAGAAAATAGAATTAAAGTGGGCGTTGTCACTCGCAAACACAATTAGCTCTCTGGGTTCCGTACCACGTGATCTTTCAAATCATTCTGAGCGTATGTAAGGAATCAAGCTTGTGCCATATAAGGATGTTGGGGACACGTCTGTACCATATATGGAAGCATGATTTCCTCTCACTTCGAATGATGAAATGATTGGATGATCTTATAATTAATAGATAACCCTCCCATTCTTAGTGCAAATCTCGCGTGTGAGCCGAGAAAATTTGTTGAGCTTCGGTTCTAATGTGAATAAATATGGCGGATTTGGAAAATATACAGTATTTGCATAACATGTAAATGCTTTATGGATTTAGAAGCACTGTCAAGCAAGATATTGAATAGTTCAATATCGTTGTCAAATTGAATTGGTCCTTTAGCCCGTGGGTAAACTACCTAATTAGGGACAGATAGCTAAAATTATAGTTATGTAGAATTGGATGAGTCAGGGCTTCGACAATTAATCCAATGCATCAAACACACAAAGCAATTAATTATAACGTGTTACAGTATGTGATAAGCTGTCAGGACGCGGTTGAAGTAATAATATTGAGTTTGCTATGGATATGCGTTGCGCAAACTGACAAATTAAATGGACCATTTAGCGGTTTATAGACCGAGAAAACTGCATTTTCGGCCGTAATTAATTTCAGGTAGCTAACCTAACTGGCAAATGAAAATTAAGTTTGATTGAGAATTCAGGCAACTATCATGTCTGAAATCCGCGAAGAATTAGCATTCAATATAAGATTTGGGTTAATAGTGGTGATAAGTTTAGCCCCATTGCAGTTGCTAAAATAATTGAGAAAATAAAAAAATATAATATTCTGCACGCCCCCTTGTAGACTTGCCTACAAGTCGATCTCAAATATAACCTGAAGTTCAGGCCCTAATTTGAAATAGGGCCTGACACAAAACCTGTCTAGACCGTGGGACGCCCACATGTTATTTTTAGACACACATGCAGTATGATTGACAAGTGTTGTAGATTTCGTTACACAAAAAAATTATATTTTCATGAACATGTCCGCAGAGCATTTTGCTTTTTAATTAAACTTAAAAATTCAAGGTACTTTTATATAATTAAGAGTCAGTTTCTCTATTTAACCGAACAGGCGAACAGCAAACAAAGATTTAATTAGTCAGTTGT